AGGATCATGTGGTAACGGAAGTGATTTCAGATGCACCACCTCAGCCTGTAACTTGACTTCTCATTATTACATGAATCTCCAACAACTTATATTTAAGAATTGTAATTTGTCGTGATAGAAAATTTATTACATGTAAAATTATGAACAATTGAAAGAAATAATAAATATATAGGCATTTACAAAATTTACAAAAAAACACAGTATAGACATAAACAGATTTTTTTTAGAAAGGTAAATTGAACTTGGTATTCACAATAGCTCCAGTTGTAAGACTCTTTGCAAACACAACTGTCTCTAATTTGCCAAACTTTATTATAATCTCTACGTCTCGCTCAAGACCAAGATGTACATCCCAAAGATCCTATACATACAAAATTTACATACGGAAAATAATTTAATAAATTAAATTTAAACAAAAAATACAGTCCATTTCAATGAAAGAAAATACTCACAATTTCCAATTTTCCATGGAATTGCATTCCAGGCTCGTCACAATAGTTTGCATCATCAGATTCCGTCGAATAAATTCCAATATCAACTTTTCTAGCACGAGGAAAAGCAGGCTGCCCTATGAATTTGAATTCTTGATCGATAGAAACTTTAGTCCCTCGTTTAACTATCGCTGAAAATATGTCAATTAACGAGCGTGCATCCTTTCGCTCGATTGGGTCTCCTGGAATCCAATCACGACAAATTTGAATTCCATATGTCCTTTTTAATGTTCGGGTATAGTTGATGTCTTTCTTTAGTTCTATATAACAATTTAAAGACTATCGTTATGACTTTAAAATCAATTGATATAAATAAAGAATTGAAGAATCATATCGAAGATTTACCATAAAGCACCGCTCCTCGCATGACGCTTGTAATTGGATTTGGAGGAACAGATATTGTACGGACCGAATCATTAAATTCTTTTTTTATTTTCATAGAGAGATACTTCGACTCTGCAAATCCACCAACTAAGAAAATAGCCGAAACTTTCTTTTGATCACATGTAGAGAGCTTTTCCCGAATCGCCCGAATCACACCTCTAACAGCACGTTCAAAAAAATTCTCGACCGTTTCAAAATCAAGTTCTATCAGCCAATCAAGTTTCTCCAATTCTGCTCTTTCTGATTCGTCAATATACTGAAGCGATACCGGACAAACATCCTCAAGGTCAATTTCATGTGTTCCCCACGTCTCCTTGTTACCATCAAATGAATGTTTCACCTCCTTGCTAAAATATTGAATTAGATATTGCAGTTGTGGGTAATGCTTCTCTGCGAGTGTTTCGACTGCTGATTCGCCTATTTTGTGATCGAGATATTTTTCGAAGTCAAAGTTTACTGATGTTGATCCGCAAAATTCGGTGGTGGTGGTGCTAGTTGTCTCGTCCAGCTCGTTGTCGGTAAGCGTTCTTATGCTTAAACTTGTAGTCGTACCACCGCAATCTACCACCATGAATGATTCTGCATTTTATAACGATTTAGTTTTGTTTGATGAATTTAAGAGGATTTGTTAAGTAAATACTTACCACCAACCGATAATAAATTTTGCTGTTTAATCATTTCAAGGCAAGCGATTGCTGCAGCTTTCGCTAATTTTCATCATAAATTATGTAGCTTTAGCGACACCATTTAACCAAACATAATTAATTAAAGATACCTACATTCTTGTATGATTTCTAATTTTTCGGAAGAGATTGAAGAAATCAGGCCAGCATTAAATGCACAGCGCCTCATACTCGCTATTGATTCCTCGTCATATTCAGATGAGACTGTCATAATTAACTTTACATCCTTTGCAAAATTTAATTCCGGCCATCTTGTTGATAGCGTGCTTTTTAATACCTTTTTTATAATATTAAAAATATTTGATGAATTTTAATAATAATAATATATCACTAGAAAACATGATGGTGACAAACCTTTCCAAGTTCACGTAAATAATCAGAGACTACTCTGATACTATCTAATCCTGGTGGAAGCGAAGCCGATATGTTGCTAAATGTCAATTGGGACTTTATGAATCCAATCGGGTTGAGCAGTTTTTGTTTCCTCGATATCTTTTCGGCCAGCCCCGGAAACCCCCATTTCACTAAATTTAATTGCTCGTTGTATTGAAGCGCTGAATTGGTTTTAGGTTCATTTTTACTCTCGGGCCTTTTAATGAAAGAAATTTATACGACTATCCAATTTTTTTATATTTATTGAAAAAAAAAAAAGGAACGATCTTGCAAAAACATTACCAATCATTGTTTGTTTCTATTTTTTCTGGTGTGCTGGTTTCGGCGAAAGCGAATCCTGTGCGTCAAAAGTTAACAGTATCAGTATTCGATCAATTAATTAATTATTTATAAACTAGTATGCATTGAAAAATTCTAGAATACCTGAAAGAGTCGAGCCAATGTCTAATAATAAACCAATCATCACCAAAATTAGCAACGACAGACAATAATAACACGGACGGATACAATGTGCATGTAATAACAATAAAATCCTTTCTTACCGATGCCAACTACGACCCGAATATCATTCTCATTAGGTGAAGACGACGACATTTTAAAAAAATTTTTCGTCAAGTTATCACACACTAGCTACTTAATTAAATTGCGCGATCAAAAGATATGTGACAAAAGAGGCATAAATGTTTAACGAGCACATACACGGAAACAATCCTTTATTAATTTTTTCTTAGGTTACATAAAATTGATTTTATTCCTATTGTTTTTTTGTTAGAACAATTCTTTTTATTGTTATTAATACAGAAATCGAATAAAAAGCCTGGGTTAGTTCGATTTTAAATGATTCAATCTTTTTATAATGTTAATGAAAGGGAATACGTCATTTTCAAACGAGTTCCTTTCCTGATTAGTCATTACCGTTACACAAAAATGTACACCATTAGATTGATAATCGGCGTGTGTGTGAGATTGATAAATAACTAAACATTTATATTAACGCTAAATTAAAAAAGTTCTAGGTTGACGCATATTATATAGGATAGCGGGGCGTCTGGTCTGGTATATCGATATCTTATTGTTGAATCATCTAGTTTAAAGAAAGATAATATGTGGAAAATTCCAGTGTCTCTCGTGTACAATAATTACTCGAAAATTTCCTCACCCACAATAAAACGCAATTTCCAATCAAGATCGATCAACTTGATTCCCTTACATTGCCACCATTTCAAATCAATTGTAAGACCAACTCGATTACTTCGTCAAAAGTATACCACAGCTTCCGATAATAGTTCATCCCCATTATCTTCGACATCCTCTGGCGACACCACGATCTCAACTCGTCAAAAGCGTATTGCACGACTCCTATATCAGTCACGTAAACGAGGAATCCTAGAAACCGACTTACTATTATCGACATTCGCATCTGCACATCTTTCATCACTGAGTGACAAACAGTTAGACGAGTACGAGTCGTTGATGTCGATACCTGATTGGGATATTTATTACTTGGCTGTTGGTAAAAAATCGGTTGATCAAGTTGAGTTCATTCGTTCTGGTATTGTTCGATTGAACACGAGCAATAAAGATGATGTCGCTGAGAATATAGAAGCATGGAAGAATTCTGAAATTTTGAAAATGCTGCGTGATCATGTAAAGAATAGAATTTCTGTCGTGGAAAATGGCCAGGAAAAGAAAAAAACGGGTGTATTGAGGATGCCAGATTTGAAATTTGATTGAAATTATATATTGGCTTAAAAATTGCATGCAACAGAATATTGATTGTGTCTATAATAAGAATATTCGAAATACATATTTTTTGCCGTATGAAATTATAGGTCCGAACATTCTACTATTAATGTTTAACAATCGTCTAAAATTTGGCATACAGCTCGCTCGCTTTAGCATAATAAAAACACTGGTTCTTGAAAAGGCTTCCATTGACGTTGCTTACAAAAATAAACCTTGTCCATTGGGTATTAATTACAGTCAAATATAACTATTGTTTTTGAAAGTGGGTAGAAAAAGGGGGCGTAATAGTATGTTACATGCACACATCCGCTAATGTTCAATCATACCCTGCTTTATTGCGAACAGTTAATAGAATAAATCTTTCCGATAATAAAAGGTAAATAGCAAAATAATAAAAATCAAAGCTTAATTTCCATCATGTTGATACGTCGTCAATTTAGCAAAATATTATGAGCAGAGGAAGATTCCCAGAGTAACCATGAATTTTTTTTTGACTTTTTACTTTAAAGGTTTGCGAATTACAACTTTATGCTTAATTACATCGATGTTAAAAAAAATCAGTTTTGTATTAACCTTTTAAATAAACTTGATTTTTAAAATCAAATAATTAGCTACCAGAAGTAACTTTATGTAGTGCGAACGAACAAGTTTTTCTATTATGAACATGTATTTGCGATTACATGAACATGTACTTGCTAAAAGTTGTATATTGATTGTGATTAGATTAGCGCTTATGCTAAACTTCATGATATATATGAAACAAGTATTAGTATTAATTCACTGTGTTGAAAAAGCTCTTAACTCATGCTTTATAAATGAACATTTACAAATTAAAATTTATGAAATAATTAGCCACGTAGTAGTTTTCACCACATTCGTATTGTGTGACATATCCGCGTAATCCTAAGAGTATTTTTAGTCAAGCTACTTTGGTGAGTTTGACATTTAAGTCGAGATCGGTTTGGATTTCATGTTGTCGGTTAACCTACTCAATAGAGAGCCACTCCTAGGTTTAAGAAAAGTTTTCTAAAAATATCCACTTTTAATTTTCAGAAAATAAATTATCTAATTTCCAAAATTTTCTGTTCTATCATTTTTTTGGGATTGTTTGATACGTATATGTACGTGTAACTTGTACATGTACTGTGCATAAATAGATTTATCAATCAATCGATGTCTAAAAATTATTTATTTTGCATAAAAATAACAAATACATGTACATAATAATAATGAAGAATATTAGAAACAACGATAAAAATGTGAATGAAGAGAATGGCGGTGAAGAAAATTATTTCTCAGATTCTGTGAAAGATCTCTTACAAGAATTCTCGTCGATTAAAAATCATGCCGAAGATAAACACTTAGAAGAATGCATTCGTACCTGGTTTTTTAAACATAAAGAATTTACCGAAGTACAAATATTTAAACACTTGAAACAAATTGCTCGTAAAAATTATGATTACGCATGTTTGCTGGGATTCTTTTATTCTCAACCTTTCGGCACATTATTCAATGGGCAAAAAGCATTTAAATGGTACCTACGAGCAGCCGAACATAATGATGCATTCGGTCAATACCAGGTTGGATATTCCTACCTTCATGGACTAGGCACAGAAAAAGATCATGAGAAAGGTTTCAACTGGTACATGAAATCAACGAATGGAGGATGTAGTAGTGCAAAATCCGGTCTCGGATATTGCTATCGACGTGGACTTCATGTAAAAAAAAATTTGCGATATGCTTTCATTTGGTATTCCAAAAGTGCAGAGATGGGCAACGGTTTGGGAAAGTGTAGTTTGGCATATGTTCTTTTACATGGTATGGGAACAAATGTTGATGTTCATCGGGCCGTTATGTTGTATCTGGAAGTAAAGAGATTGGGGTACATAGATGTCGAGGTATCTCTTCGTGGAATTTTCGATTCTGATTATTAGAAATCCTCCTAGTATCACAACGTATCAAATTTAATACGGATAAAAATAATTAATAATCTATATTTAAAAAATTTTCATCTTCCAAAAATCCAAAAATACGATTCTTTTTAATTCGTAAAGATAACATTCCTTAAAAAGAATTTGAGTTTGGAAAAGCATAACGATAAACAAATTGACTTATCGTTATTTGCTTTATTATATAAAAACATTATCATCATGAATTCTAAAAGTAGTCCAAAATGGGTTGCTGCGCCACAATTTGCATTATCACTATTATAGTTTTTCTGAAATTTTTTTTTGCCACTGCGGTTAAACAAGAAATTGACTTACACGTGAAATTGGAAAGAAATTAAGTGGCCAAAAATTATCGTTATGTCATTTAATGCCAGAATTTGGTGATTACTAATGAGAAAACACCTCAATACCGTTGTTTTACCATTATTATTATGTACATGTATGATGTTTAAATTTTGTGTGATACATGTAGTAGTTGTGTCACCAATGCATTATTCGCAGTAGCTTCTGTGATAACGATCGCATGACTCAATTTAATCGAATATAAGAACGTATTTATTCTTTAAAATCTAAATCCAATATATGATAAAATGATATCAGATACCACCTCAAAAAGAGATTTATCAAAAGAACTACTTGAAATCTACAAAAAAGGATGTGATGCCTACGAAGATGACCGAGTAATAGAAGTAGAGGTAAACTCATGGTTCACAACGCATAGCGAACCACCATCACAAATATTCAAGATAGTATTCGAACGAAGTAAGGACGAAACAGACTACAAAACGCTTCTCGCGTTCATGTATTGCCTAGGGATAGGTACCGAAATTGATAAATTTGAGATGTTTCGATATTACTTGATGGCTGCGGAACAAGGGGATCCAGTTGCTGCGAATCAAGCAGGATGGTGTTTCTACGATGGAGTAGGAACACGCAAGAATCCCGAAAAGGCTTTTCACTGGTTTCAACGTTCGGCATATGGTGGTTATGCGCTGGGATTGGGTTGGTTGGGACAATGTTATGAGACAGGGTTTGGTGTAAAAGCTGACGTTGATAAAGCGTTTAAATATTATGTGTCAGCGGCGGGAGAAAGTTCTGGATCACAATGTAATCTTGGAAATTGCTACATGAATGGACATGGGGTGAAACAAAATTATAAGAAAGCCGTTTATTGGTATAAGCAAAGTGCGGAGAGAAATCATGATTATGGATTGTGCAATCTCGCTTACTGCTATCAATACGGATACGGAGTGGAACAGGATGAAAGCGAAGCATTCAGACTGTACCAAAAATCGGCAAATTTAGGAAATACCGACGCTCAAATCCAACTGGCGTTTCTCTACAGGGAAGGACGCGGTGTTGAAAAGGATGACAAAGAAGCATTCTACTGGTGCAAAAATGCCGCTGATCTTGGAAATCCAGATGCCGCCAATGAACTCGGATATTGTTACCAACTAGGAATCGGAACACGATCAAACAAATATAAATCATCGCTTTGTTATCGAACATCTGCCTTTGGGAGTTATCAAGTGGGAAAATATAATTATGCGTATTCTTTCCATAATGGGTTTCGTGGATCGGTGGATAAACATCAGGCGATATATTGGTATCGACGAGCATTTGATTGCGGATACGGGGATGCGAAGAAACAATTAGATTATCTTTTTAAAACGATGCATTTGATCTAGATGTATCCAAGGAATTTAGAAAATTTCGTTTGCGTTTTTTTGAAATGAATTGAAATGATGCTAATAAACGAAAAAAAATTGTTGACCTGGACAGCACGATATACGCATTACGAATGGATGTAAACCTTATTTGCGACAAGGAAAAAATTACCATATATCGATATAAAATATTTATGTTATAACAATTAACAGAAAAATTATTATCTGCAAAAACTACGTATAGGAAAATTTAACTCATAAGATTTCTTTTTGAAAAAAAATTTGATATATACAATTTCATGAATTTATAGGTCGTTAAATAAAAAAGATGCAGTAAAGTAATTGCGCAATTTTGTCCTGATCGACATACATGTAATTTTCATTCTCCCATGTTTTACATCACGTGCATAATTGCATAGCGAATGTATTAAAATTACACAAGTTTTTTGTTATCGTTTGTTACATTTCTACTGTTTTCTTTGTCTGCGTGCGACAAAATAGATATTTCTTATCGCAGCACAAAAGTAAACAATTTTTTTAATTCCACAAAGTAAATAAAGAATTAAACTAATTCAAAAATTTGTATTTTTTCAGATTAACGCATCAATATGAGCAATGATATCGAGATGAATAATATTGTTATTTACAACGATGAAAAGATGGGTAATGAAAATGATTTCTCAAAGGCACTGAAAGAACTGTTGAAAGCATTCTCTTCGATCACAAGTTCTGGCGAGCATGACAAGCACCTACAAGAATGCATTCATAATTGGTTTTCTCAACACCAAGAATTCACCGAGATTCAAATCTTTGAGGACCTAAAACAGGTCGCTCGCAAGAATCATGATTACGCATGCCTACTAGGATTCTTTTATGAGAATTCAATTGGAACATCGTATGATCTACGAAAAGCATTTCTATGGTACCTACGAGCAGCTGAACACAATGACGCATTCGGTCAAAACCAGGTTGGATATTTTTATCAGAATGGGATCGGCACCCAGGTAAATTATGAGAAAGCCTTTTATTGGTACAGGAAATCATCGGATGGCGGTTGCAGTGATGGGAAATCCAACCTTGGATATTGTTATGAGTATGGAATTCACGTCAAGCGAAATCATAGGTATGCGCTTTATTGGTACACTAAAAGTGCAGAGATGGGCGACGAACTAGGAAAATGTGATTTGGCAGATGTGCTTTTACACGGCATAGGAACTAATGCTGATGTTCACCGCGCATTGAAGTTGTATCTGGAGGCGAAAAATTTGGGATGTATGCAAATAGAGCAACATATTCGTAAAATCTTTCTTAAGCTTCATTAGAAAAACCTTGCGTTTTATTATTTCACAGTATCATTATTTAACTTAAATCACATCTCTATTTCAAACTAATAGATATATTCAATAAATTTTAATCCTTAGCGAGATAAAAGAAAATATGAACTTAAACGTTAATTCTATTAAGGTTATTGATTTTTCATTTCAGTTAAAAATAATAGAATCTCTCACATGTATGATACGTATCTCAGTAACTCATATTTATCTTATCGTTATTATAAAATAACCAAATAAGAAATTATGACTGTATAGCGGTAGGATAATGATTAAAAACAAATTTTCGCTCTTAATGTTCAAAGTTAATTTATTCAACTTCATTTAGCTGTATTAATTTCTATGATTTAATTCAGCAACATTTTTTTAGGTCAAACGATTTTTAAAGGTACATATACCGATACGCACACTATATTACGTCATAGTGTACACGTTTAATTTCGGTTCGAATTCGAATAAGTGGATTGCTAGTTCTATCAAATTAAAAATTATAATTTTTATTTTTTTGCTCAATTATGTAGTATAAAAGATCACGTAGAGGCATTCCAAACTAATACGAGCCGAGATATTTTGATTTATCTGTTAAAGCTATGATAGATGGTTGTTTTTTAGATTTATCTTAGCCTTGTCCCGGGCTCTAATTGCATTACTAAAAATATCCTCTCATCATTTTATAAATGACCGACACTTAGAAAATTTTGTATTTGGGTCAGGAAATACTAGTTTAGAGTTATGACGGCTTATATCTATATTTGTCACATCGTTAATTAATTTGATCCATTTCAACAAAAAAATTACAAAATCATTCAACTTTAGTGACTGTGAATTTCCATATTGGACTTGCATATTTCTGCATCTCTAATCGTTTGATTTTTAGATTTAGTATCGAAAAGAGATGGGCACACGTCATTGATTATATAGAGCTTAACGATAGTGTACTTTGCGTACTGTTACCGCCGCAACGAAAATCTCGTGATCACGGAATACATGTACATGTATTTTGGTGAATGTGTAACAAAATAATCGTATTGTCCCGCATAGGATATCAGAAATTCCTACAAAAATTCCCTAATTAAAATTCTTGCACGCCCAAAAATTCTTAGTACGTTCTCTCTTATAATTATAATTAATTTTTGTAGCGTAATAAGTCTTTTTATTTTATTTCTTTTACATATTCAGTTACATTGAATTCCATTACATTATTTTATCATTTATATATCTTTCTTCTTTTTGTGAAATTCCTACTAAAGTTCTTATTTTGTGCTCTAATGACCCGCAAAACCTGTAAATGACGAATTGTAACTTAGATAGTTGTGTAATAACGAAAATTGTACATATAGGATAAATTCTCAATACAAGCAGTATGTGATTTGAAGAAAAATGACTAATAAAATTATTTTAATTTTTCTCTAACTACTCTTCGACTTTAATATCTTTTGCGTATAAACAAAATTGATAGCTTTAATTCTCTTTGTGCTTAACAAGCTGAAGGCTTTACTGCTTTGATCATACAAAGTTAATATTGATTTTCATTATTTTAATATTACCTTTTGGATATTGAAATTATTATTTTAATATTGACTTTATTATTTTATTGTATTGTAACCTTGAATGTCAATTTTTATTACTTTATTATCGATACCTAAATTTGTTTTGGAATAGTTTATACAATCAGTTATTTGTGTTGGAGATTCTTTATTATATTAGTAATTTTGCTTCTTTAACTTATTTCTTTGAATCTTACTTTTACCCTTGATTGCAAAATCGCCGTGAAAGATTGGCACAGGAGACCTTTAGAATCCCAGTAAACCCACTTCGTGTAAATCATTCAGTCTTCGCTCTCAACCCTTGTTGCATCCTTAATTCGTTAGACAAACTAACTTCCGAATTGAGTGTGTCAGCATAGTACGTATAGTGAAAAGCCTCATTTTGCGCATTACTAGTATCATAAGCAATTTACTTATACAATTTAGCATTGAAAATCAATATACTTGAGACAAAATTTGTTATTCCTGAATATTCAGAGCCCAACATTATAAGCTAATGGGAGTAAAAGTTAGATAAATGTTGAATTGCGCAGATTTATCTAAGTATTAGGTGGCTTTGACAATTATTACACATTAAACGTTAATTATGTACAATATTTGTAATTTATAAATTCAACTTCTAAATGCATCTTTCGCACTGTCTCAAGCACAAGCATTAAATTTAACGTGATAATATGCTGAAACTAATTACAACAATAAATAAATTGCAAGAGATTCAAAAACAAGAATATATTTTTTCAAGATCAAAAGATTCAACAAGTTTCCCCGCTCGATCATGACCATTTTCATGCGCTTTTTGATACCATTTTAACGCCATGTCGAGATCTTTTGGAATTCTGAATCCATAATGATAGCATTCAGCAATTTTGAATTGAGAGATATTTAATCCAGCCTCAGCGGATTTTAAATACCATTCAAATGCTTTCTTCTCATTACTATTTGTTCCATTTCCTTGAAAGTAGCATTCTGCAAGAAAATGCCGAGCATATTCAATATTACAATTTTCTGACTCTGCTGATTTCTGGAAAAACGAAAATGCTTTCTGTAAGTCTCTATTAGTTCCTTCACTATAATAATAGCATCTACCAAGATTGAATACTTCATTGCTTTCATTCTCTGATACTTTCAAAAATGATTCAAATGCGATTCTTTCATCTTGTTGAGTTCCAACACCATTTCGATAACACCAACCAAGATTTAATTGTCCATTAACATTTCCACCCTCTGCTGACTTCAAATACCATTCAAATGCTTTTCTTTCATCTTTCTGTGTTCTTATACCATTTTGATAACAACGACCTAGTTGATTCTGACCTATAGCATTTCCATTCTCTGCTGATTTCAAATACCATTCAAATGTTTTTTTCTCATCTTTTTTAGTTCCTATACCATTTTGATAACACCAACCTAGTTGATTCTGTCCCGTAGAATATCCATTCTCTGCTGATCTTAAATAACATTCAAATACTTTTTTCTCATCTTTTTGTGTGCCTATACTATTTTCATAACACCAACCAAGATTACATTGTCTTCCAGCATTTCCATCCTCTGCTGATTTCAAATACCATTCAAATGCTTTTCTCTCATTTTTTTGTGTTCCTATACTATTTTCATAACACCATCCAAGTTTACATTGTGCTTTATCATCTCCATCTTCTGCTAATTTCAAATATCATTCAAATGCTTTTCTCTCATCTTTTTGTGCTCCTACACCGTTTTCATAACACCGACTTAGTTGATACTGTCCTATAGCATCGCCATTCTCTGCTGATTTCAAATACCATTCAAATGCTTTTCTCTCATTTTTTTGTATTCCTACACCATTTTCATAATACCATCCGAGATTATATTGTCCTCTAGCATTTCCATCCTCTGCTAATTTCAAATACCATTCAAATGTTTTTCTCTCATCTTTTTGTGTTCCTACACCGTTTTCATAACACCGACTTAGTTGATACTGTCCTATAGCATCGCCACCCTCTGCTGATTTCAAATACCATTCAAATGCTTTTCTCTCATCTTTTTGTGTTCCTACACCATTTTCATAACACCATCCGAGTTTACATTGTCCTATAGCATCGCCACCCTCTGCTGATTTCTAATACCATTCAAATGCTTTTCTCTCATCTTTTTGTGTTTCTACATAACATCGACCTAGTTGATGCTGTCCTATAGTATCTCCGCCCTCTGCTGATTTCAAATACCATTCAAATGCTTTTCTCTCATCTTTCTGTGTGCCTATACCATTTTGATAACACCAACCTAATTGATTCTGTCCCATAACATTTCCACCATTTGCTGGCTTCATATACATTCAAATATTTTTTTCTTATCTTTTGTATTCCTATACCCTTTTCATAACATCGACCTAGTTAATTCTGTCCTATAGAATCTCCACGCTCTGCTGATTTCAAATACCATTCAAATGTTTTTCTTTCATCTTTTTGTGTTCTTATACCCTTTTCATAACACCAACCGAGATTATATTGTCCTCTAGCATTTCCAGCCTTTGCTAACTTCAAATACCATTCAAATACTTTTTTCTTATTTTTTTGTATTCCTATACCCTTTTCATAACACCGGCCCAGTTGATTCTGTCCTATAGCATCTCCATCCTCTGCTGATTTTAAATACCATTCAAATGCTTTTCTCTTATCTTTTTGTGTTCCTACACTATTTTCATAACACCGACCTAGTTGATGCTGTCCTATAGCATCTTTGCCCTCTGCTGATTTCAAATACCATTCAAATGCTTTTCTTTCATCTTTTTGTGTTCCTATACCCTTTTCATAACACCAACCGAGATTATATTGTCCTCTAGCTTTGCCACCCTTTGCTAACTTCACATACCATTCAAATACTTTTTTCTTATCTTTTTGTATTCCTATACCCTTTTCATAACCTCGACCTAGTTGATTCTGTCCTATAGCATCTTCACCCTCTGCTGATTTCAAATACCATTCAAATGCTTTTCTCTCATCTTTTTGTATTCCTACACCATTTTGATAACACAATCCGAGGTTATATTGTCCAATAACAAACCCACCCTCTGCTGATTTCAAATACAAATCAAATGCTGTTTTCTCATCTTTTTGTGTTCCTATACCATTTTGATAATAGTACATCGTCCCATAGCATATCCACCCTCTGCTAAGCTAAAATACCATTCAAATGCTTTTTTTTCATCTTTCTGTGTTCCCATTCCATTTTGAGAATGCCAGCTGAGTTTCAATTTTCCTTCAGCATCTCCATTCTCTGCTGATCTCAAATGCCATTCAAATGTTTTTTTTTCATCTTTTTGAGTTCCCATTTGTCTGAAATTTAATTGAAAATACCTTATGAAGTTTGATAGAATCTCTTTTGTAGGTTAAGAATTATATATTGTGCCTTGACAACCTGACAAAGATCAATCCAATTTCTATTCTCGAAATTTATATATGCCATTGTTTATTACACATCGGAGCATGAACAAAAAATTCCATGCGTTACGTGTACTGTATACTCGCGAAATAACGCCCCATCTGTGCGTTATTTTGAGCCCTGCGAATAATTTCGAGTACGCTTATGTATTTATTTCAAATAAAGAGTCGATTTTTTGATCCTGATACATGTAGTTTCAAAATAACGCCCTTGGGGGGGGGGGGCGTTCATTTACATATGAATTTCATTTTATACATGTACATGTCATGTAATCTGTTACCACTACATGTGTAAATGTACATATACAGTCACACCTCCCTAAGTGCACCCCCCCTTTTAGTAAAATGTTTAGAGAGGGTGTGCATTTATTGAGATCAAAATATATAGAGCTCTTATAAGCTGGGACCAGAATATACCATGCATTTAGAGAGGAGTTATATAGTGCATGCACTTAGGGAGGGTGCACTTAGAAAGGTGTGACTGTATATTGATTTCATTCACTGACATTTTCTTAACGAAAGTTTTATCAAAATTACATATACATGTATTTAACTTATGCAATTCGATAGTCATAGGTTTCGTCATTCGTCAATTCGTCAAAACAAAATTACTTGACGAAAGGTTTCGTCATTTGACAATGTTTACACATGACATACATAAATCTACTGTTTATGGGCGCACGTTATTCGGGACGCACATAGGCGTTATTACGAAATAACACCAATGCCCTTTATTTCGCGAGTACATGTGGCACTGTTCTTTGAATCTGATTGGTTAAAACCTTGTACCTGCCTGCAATGAGAAAAATTCAAACCGTTCAATACAAAACGGTGGTGCAACACAAAATGTAGGTGCAGTCAACAAGTCGGACTTTTGTTCTGTATTCTGATTAACAATCGCAGTCTAGCAAACAAAGAATTCTCGGAATCGTAATTGCACAATCTCTCAAAAAGTTTTAGAAATCAAGGATTTTATCATTTATAAATAATCTTTTTGTTAAGTGGAATTATTAACTAAGCACCTCATACATGTATAATGCAAGTAAACTGTTTGGAATAATGTTTCTCTATCGGAAAAATGTATCAGGAATTTTACGTGATGCTTAAGCAATTTATCAGCAATGTGTCATGAATTAATCCCGTATGTAATTGGGCGCGGAATTATCATACATGTTTCTTATACTCTTAAATTCCATATGATTTTCAGATGAAAATAACGTATAAATTCCAGAAAAAGGAAATGCATATCTTATATATTCCCGGACCCCCTAGTCGCAGCCACTTTGAATTATAGGTGCCAAATTTATATTTACGTGTACATAGTATTCAAATAAATCATGTGATCATATATAAAGTCGTACATGTATGCATAACGATAATAATTTATTAAAGTACATATGCGTATATTGTCAATAGTTTAGGCGCCCACCCATACATCTCTAGTCGCAGTGTTGATGGTGGAGTAGTCATAGTAATAATCAAGATCCCGTGACAAACGAATCCCGCATCTCGGCATTCCGAATGAATGAAATCTCGGATGCATGAAATCTCGAATGCATGAAATCCCGAAATCGTAATATGGTATTCCATGCATTTGGGATGTGCATTCGGGATGTCGTTCATTCGGATGCCAGTGATTCGTTCGTACTTAAATCCCTTCGCCCATTTGGGCCAACAATCAGGATAATTATTTTCCATTCTTTTTTTATTATAATAGATACAGGATTTCAGTCATTCGGAATAACGTTCGTTCTTTCAGGATGTCGGGGCTTATGCACTTACAGGATTGTGTTTTGATCTCGTAATGGTATATGATGATGATGGTGGTGGTGGTGATGACGATGATGATGATGATGGTTGTGGTGGTGGTGATGTGTAATGGTGGTGTGTAGTGACAATAGTGATAGTAGTAATAAATAACACCTGTATATTATAAAAACTCTGTAAAAATATTCGGGTATATGCAGAGTATAATTCAAGGGTTTTACACGGTAACGGATTACAAAGATTTTTCAGGAGACTTTCCCTGTGAAACCCAGGTATTTACAGGTGACTATTGTATACAATTACGCATTATTATTACAGGGGATTTATAGAGGTATTTTTCTCACAGGGTTCTAAGTTCAACTGTCTCAAGCACAAGTATCAATGATTTTAACGTGACTTATTCCTGAACAATTATTACACAATTGATTTTTTTACATAACAGTGATACGTGAAACTTTTTGGAAAATTCTTTTTATTATGTCACCCTTATGTATGATATCACACTTTCTATTGATTTCTTATTAAATGTATGTAAGTAGGGGACATAAGTAACTGTACCCTGATAACTTTCCACAAATCATGTGAACAAAGAACTGATCACCTATGCCTTTAATAGGGTGGTCAACTTCTATATCGGGGGCAGGGACCTGTAAGAATTTGGATCCAAATTTTTTTAAATTTTTCGAGGTTAACCAAATTTTTTAGGTTAACCAAATTTTTCCATATTTTTACCGGATAACATATTTTTACATATTATGCATTAATCAAATGCAGTGAGTTTTAGTATCGAAATGTATTTTGTATTATTCAAATGTAGAAGTTTTAGCTCTTTTAATTCTTAATTTATAAAATATTTGTCCAGTGTCCAATAACGCATTATTAGACCAAGGCCAGTGTGGTCCAGTGCGTTAAGGCAGCAAATCAAATAGCAGAAGCTAATAAAAATTTACTTTTCATTTTCTTGCTCCAGTGCAGCCTATATGTTCTAGTATGTTTTTGAATCATTTCTCTAAATGCACAATATAAATGCATGACTGTATTTGTTCTTAGAGAGACGAACTTATGAAAATTGACCGTATGCTCTCTTATAAAGCAAAAATTGATGTCATAATAAAAATTTAAAATATAATAACCTCCCTCATTTTAAAAATTAAGTAACAAAATAGAGAACTAAGAATATCTGCTGCGATGAATTCATAGCACTGTGAACAATGGAACCACAGAAAAGATACGATGAAAAAAAATTATGAAACTTTGGGCAAAAAATTACGATGAAGCCTCGTATAGAAGGATAGTATTAAGTGGAGTGGTAGTTTTTATCTATTTTCTTCGTTTAGAATATACAAATTGACACTTGTAAAAATCTAATAAATTACTTAGTTATCATTTTGAAATAGAAAGTAAACTTTATACTAACAGCATTTGTGTATTTTGCCCTTTCTTGTCGATAAATTCTTGTTGCTTTTTCTCTTCATCAAGTCTATCTAATATCAGGTAAGCTACTTTTTAAATCTCTTCGCATGTTCTAAAGAGCTGTAGTACTGAAATGCAAAGCAAAAGTATTCGGTCTTCACTCATTTTTGATGTGTTTGAGCGGAAAGTTTTCAAGTAATGGTTCATTTTCTTATAATAAATTTCTCTCATCTAAGAACATTCTTTGATAGATTATGTCTCTTTTATTGCTCTATCCTGACTTCGCGATTTGCCTATTAGGTCGTCATAACTGGAATTTTAACTACTGTAATGATAGTTCAGAACAGTCAGAATCCATCTTTGAAAACTTGATTGTGATAAACAACAAATGCATCAAGTTTACACTTTAAAAATTGTTTATATATGAAGTCACGTAGTTGATATTGATTTCAGTAGATAACAATACATGAACTATCGCTATTATATTTTCTATCTTTGTAACACCATCATATTCGTCAAATGACTTGATTAATTCATAACAAAATAGATGTTACTAGTGTTCTAATCATTTTAATCTTCGTGAGGTACAGTACGTGTATATGCAATGATAACAATCTTTTAAAATCACAATGGAAGAAATATATAGTAATTATAATTTCGGATGAGTAAATCAAAGAAATCAATTAACGAAATTATTCATCGTCCATGAAGTATGATACATTTGACCAGTGGTTTTATTATGAGCGCTGGCCTTCAATTCCATCTTTCCAAAAGTCAGCGAGAATTCAATTGGTCGATTTATTCCTAAATAAGTGTCTGGTAAATCTTTAAAATAAAAACACGTAACTGGAAGGTTAATAGTCACAAAAATGAAAGAGACTTAAAACAATATGATTCTCACCTATTTGTAATTTACCCAGGAAACAAACACCCGGTTCATCGCAATATCTTGGAGAATTTTCAGAGTAATAAACCTTGAAACTTGCTGATGTTTGATCTGGGTAGACCGGTTTAAATTCTCCTGAAAATTCTTTGTCAACTTTTACTTGAGTACGTCGTTCCGCTAATTTTTGGAAACGATGCACTCGTCCTTCGAAAGTTCTGTTTTAACAAATAGAATTATAATAGAATTCCATTAATCGAACATAATTGAGATATTCAATATTCATAATACCTTCGCTCAAATGGATCTTCGGAGGGATCCCATTCAACAAGAACTTCAATTCCATAGCTCCATTTCAATATACGTGTTTCCACTGCTTCCATGTTTAGTCCATATGCAACAGCTCCCTTTAAAACAGCACCCATTGGTTGTCGAGGTTCAGCAATTATGGGAACTTTGCTTGCAAAAGATTCTTTAATTCTATTTCGCAAGTAAACAGATTCCGAAAACCCACCCACAAGGAACATTGCAGAAGGAGATTTAACAGACTCTGCCGCTTTCAATTGATTCGAGATCAATTTAATAACTTTAGCGACAACAGGATCAAACATTGATTTCACCGACTCAAAATCCAGTTCAATTAACCAATCTTCTTGTTCCATTTTCTCTTTATTTTCTCCGGTGACATACTTCATCAATGCCGGACAATAATGTTCTAGATCCAGATCAATTGGTTTGAATGTATCTGCGTTTCCATCAAACATATATTTCACTCGTGGACAAAAAAATTTCTGAATGAGATATTGCAATTGACCGTAATGTTCCGTTTTCACCTTTTCCAATGCCGAGAATCCTAATAGTTTGCCGAGATACTTGAGAAATTCTAGGTCGATAAAAGTTGCACCACATAAATCGCCTGTTCGTTCAGTAATTTCTCCAAGTTTATTGTTATTATTGATAGTACGTGTCGTTAAATCCACAGTGCCACCGCCACAATCAACTACCAAGAACGAATCTAATATTATATAACAAACCGTTTAATTTCCCTTTTTTTTTTAAATCCATAATAATCAACTACTGTATCATATTTTTGATAAGAAACAACCTCCGGTCTTTAATTTATGTTCCTCTACTACATTCAAACAATGCATGGCTGCTGCTTCAGCTATAAAAAAATTCATGTTAATACTATAGTTGGAAAGAAAAATTCGAAACAAATTAAAAACACTTACGTTCACTTGTAAATTCTAATCTTTTGGAATCTGCTGTTTCAATAATACCAGCTGCATGAGCGCATTCACGCATTATCACCTTGGTGTTTTCTTTCCTTCAAATATAAATATGCTTTAGTATTATTAATTTCCGGTAGTATGGGTTATGGCTCGCAAATACAAACCATTCTGCAGGAATTGTCATAACATATAAAATCTGTGAACTTCGCATTCCTGGCCAAGTTTTCTCTATCGTTTCTTTGATAAGCTAAGATAGAAAAAAAATTCGATTAATCCATAAAAACAAAAACATTAGTCACCCATAAAAAACGGTTTACTTACCTTATTCATACAACTTAAATAGTCGCATATAGGTTTCTTATAGTTCATGCCAGCGGGTAAGGAAGGTTTATTTGACATTTCGGTCAAATGTAATTTAAAAAGTTCCACCGAGTAAATTTCTTTTTTACCGGCATTCGCTTTTTTCTTTTTCTCAGGCGTTTGAACAAGCGCAGGTTCACCCCACGCTGCAATACTTAGACTACCGGTTTCAGGATCATATTCATATCTTAGCGCGGTGTTAGTTTTTGGAAGTCCTTCACGACCTGGCCTTTTTTGTTACTTGAATGAATTAATCGTATTTGTATTCGAGATTAGAATTTAAGGACAATGTCCTATACTAATTTTTACCATCGTCCATTTGTCTCTATTTCAGGATTTGCTCTATGTGCATAGGCAAAACCGCCTGATTTTCAAATGACGAATATGTATTAAATTTTATTCATATGAATTGAAGACGATTAATCAAGTTAAAACTTACTGTACGTGGTACCAAAGTCTAAATAAGAAGCCGAATATGGAAAATAAAACACGCATAGTTAGCTATAAAGATACCAAGTTCAAGTTTGTTTTTATTTTCACACTTGCCAATTGCGACAACAGCTCGAATATCTTCGACATCCATTATTTTTCGTATCGTAACTATTGTTAGTATTTACTGAACAATGTTCCGTGGATTCGAAGAATTAAAAAAAGATTCTTCTTTAATTCACAAAAAAATCTGCCAAAATAGAGGTCTTTAAACAAAAAGAGGTTCTTTGATCGCGGAAAGAAACGTCATTGTCTCCTGTATTAGGAAATTATACATACCGTCATACCCGATATTTAATAAAGCCATTCAAACAGTGACAGAATGGATAAATGGGAAAAAGTTACACACAATTATGCGCAGTCAAAATTTTGATACACATAATATAAATATAAATGCATATCGATACTTTTTAAAGTTTATTCTATATGCATTACGAACTTCTGAGGAAAAGTTCCCCGTGGCGTAATTGCGTAACGCTAATCTTTTACGACCCCGGAAAGTCTTGCAGGGTCCAAAAAGTTGGATCAGATAATCGTCCACAGGTAACTTTCTCTTATCATTACATGTATATGCGCTCAATGAACACGACACGTGATATTACATTTATTATAAACCTCACTCAACTAAAAAAACCAAATTAACAATGTTAAAGACCGGGTACATAACAATTTTCGAATCCGAAAATTCGTTAATTCCATTCAAACAAACCGTAACAACATTAATAAGTTTCATCTTTATACTAGCTGAATAATACTGTAATTCCACAAAATATTAAGTCATTTTTAACCCACTTTGCAACGGTTCCAGTTGGTGTATAAATTTTGTCAAAGAAGAAAGATATTATTTTCAAAACATCCAAAGGTTATAACTGAGGTGTTAGTCCATCGCTATATAAGTTTTTTCTCTTTAAATCTTCTACTGTGTATGTACATTAAAGAAATTCAATATCTTAATATACGGTATGATTCAGCTTATAAATTTTTATATCATGTATAACTGTATCAAATATAAAACTTGATATTTAATCCTTTACTAGTTCTTGAATAATAGTAGTTTTTTATGTCATTCAAACTATTAGTTGGTAAATAAAAGTAGTTTTTCTTCGTGTTCTTACAACTGATAGTTTTATGAATCACATATGTCTTTAATCTGATTTGCTACTCTTGCTTTTAGTTCTATTATTATAAGATAAAGCTAATCTCGCCATTTCAACAGATATTTTGATTATCTTAGGTTAGGTAAAAGTGCAAAAATTCTATACATATAACTAACTTCTTGTGTACATTATTAGAGTTAAGTGTTAAGTAGATGTACAGTACCCACAGAAAGTATCGCCCGATGCAAAATTAAAATAAAAATTTAGAGCATTTTTCAATTTATTTGATTTTATACACCAAATAAAAAATAAAATTTATTTTATATTTAATTGGCCCTCCATTTGACTCCAATACTGCATTGATTCTTCGTGGCATTGATGCAGTAACCCGTTCTAAAATAGCCACATCAAGTTTTTTCCACTCCATCTTCAGTGCAATCTTAAGTTCGTCCACAGTCGTCGTAAAGTTCTCATTTTTTTGAATATTGTCTTTTAATATCTTTCAAATATTCTCTATTGGATTCAGGTCTGGGCGCATTATCATGTTGCGATACGTGGGTTAAGTCCGGAGTTGTGCAATACATTTGCGATGGTTGATAAACTACAAGTAAGGCCTAAATTATTGACTATTTCGCATAGTGATGCATTTCGTTTTTCGCTAGCTTCACGTATAAGTAAATCCTTTTCGTGATTGTTTAAGACTGGTGATCTTCCTAAACGTGGTAAGTTTTCACTTTTCTGAAAGTGGCATACCGTTGTAGGGTCACGTCCGAGTACTTTTGCGATATGAGCGGCATTTGTGGTGTCCATGTACGCCAAAATCTTCTCCTTTCAATTTTGTTAAGCTGCGTATAGGTGAACACCATTTTTTAACCTAAATAAATTATAGTGTTAACGAAGTGGTAAAAAGGGATAAATGTATTTTAAAAAATGGTTACACACGTAAATCGGGCGATACTTTCTGTGGGTACTGTACATGCATCTTGTTCTGTACAGTCAGACCTTCCTAAATGCAACTTGCTCGGGCATTTATGAAGGTTAATTTGGACCAGATTTGAGCCTGCATTAGGGAGATATTATATTTTGAGAGATTTGACTGTATTGCTATATAATAATATTAGAGGCTGCGCTGGTCCAAGGTATGTTTGTATTAGAGATGTTAATTGGTCCGTCCGGTCCAAGGACTGCCAATCCTAAGCAAGACCGGACCGGCCTTCGATCCAAGGACTTAGTTGATGGGATCTTAAAAATGTGATCGATCCATGACTAAATTTATGAATCGGCTGATCTTAATCATCCATCAGGATGATCCAAGAAACCAATGAACTGAATACTTTGCATTTTTAGTATCACAGTTCCAAAAACATATGAAGAATGTCTTTAAACTAGAAAAGCAAAAATGGAAAGAACTTCACAATGAGATAAAATTGCAAAAAAGTGTTCTTGTAAATGCAAACAAAAAATAACAAATTCACTCATTCAACAAATCTAACTTCTAACACTTCAAATAAGTTTTGAATTACCAAAATTATTAATATTTTAAAGTGCTATTAGAATTTTTGGAAGTGTTGGATTATTGACATATTGAATTATTTTGTTAGAATTATGTGATGAGATAAATATAAAGAAGAAAAGAGCTTGATTATCAGAATGTTAAATCTGTAATCAATATATTTGATTATTCATTACTATAAGATCAAGTTAATTGATTAAGATAATAAAGTTTCATAAAGTTCTTGTTCTATTTTCTTATTATACTTTACATTAACAATATTATTATTTTTATTATTATAATAATTATTATTTTAATCAATATTGATAATAATTACAAAAAAAAATATTAGTTATTTTTCTTTATTCTAC